CATTGACTCTGTCAATCCTGAAATGTGTTGAGGTAGGCTCGCCCATATATTTGATGCACCCTGGTTGATGAGAAACAGGCTGCTCATTTGAACAAGGATCAGTGTTTCCAACTGGTGGAGCAAATACATGAAATCCTATGCACCATCTTGAAGCTCTACTCTGTTTCCAACACCAAAGGGGTCCCTCCGACGGCATTCTTGTATGACATAGGATATTTCACAGAGTAAGAAATTGTCATGTATTTCCCTGAAGGGCGTGTACTGAGATATAACAATAGCACTCTTCAAAAATTGTTCGCATTTGTGAAAGGGCAAGGGAGGGTGGGGAAGATAAGGCAGATGTTCAGGCAACCAGATAATGCCGCAAGACTGGTGCATTTCAGGAAGGAACTATCTCAGTCTCAAGAGACATTCAAGGTAATGAGTTAACATTTATGGCCGTGGGCTATCTTCAAGTCATTTCGGCTTCGAGTAACTGGTTCAACATTGTCTCACATAATGAATATCAAGAAGGATGCAAAGCAACAGCACGAAGAACTTATTGCCCTCCTGAATTCTCACCCTGAACTGACTGATTCTGATGGTTCATCTGTTGGTCCACTTTTATCCTCCCATTCCATTGACTGAGGTTTCTCAGGTGTTTGGGACTTTATCAAGGTTGGGAAACAGGTTGGTTGAACTCTCTCCTTCATACGACTTGTGTAACATTCAACCCAGCTCTGGATCGTTGTCAATGCTCCCACCTTATCCTCAAATCTTCTATGGCCGTGAATATGAGCTTCAGCAAGTTGTGAACATTCTTGTTCAGGACTCTGCCCGCATTGCCATTCTAGGTATCGGCGGCATGGGAAAGACAAGTCTTGCCACAGTGGCTCTCCATGACAATGCAGTTGTGGAAAAATATGCATACCAATACTTTGTCCAGTGCCACTCAACTCCCACATGTCTTGAGCTGGTGTCCGCCATTGCAGATCATGTTGGAGTGAAAAAGGGATCCAATCTATCGCAAAAAGTTGCCAGTCACTTCATGCATGCTCCAGCATCTCTTCTAGTCTTGGATAATCTGGAGACCTCTTGGGAACCAGTCACATCTAAAAAGGAAGTTGAAGAATTCCTGTCACTCCTGACAGATGTTCCCCAGCTGGGGCTGATGGTGTGTGAAATTTCACTCCAGGAAATTCATGGCTCACCTTGCTCATAGATCACCATGCGCGGTGCTGAACACCCAGCCAAAGTCAAATGGACTCGGCCATTTTTGGCACCTCTCAAGCCACTTTCTGCCGCCGCAGCACTTGAGGCATTCATTGAGGTTGCAGATGACATTCATGAAGAAGACTCCATCAAGCAGCTACTTGCACTCACTGGGCACATGCCCCTCGCAGTCAGCCTCATGGCAAGCGTAGCTGCCCATGAAGGCTGTGCCAATGCCTTGTCACGATGGCGAACTGAAAGCACTCGCATGCTTTCAGATGGATATGACAAGAGATCCAGTCTAGACATCTCAATCATGTTGTCTTTCACAAGTTCACGGATGACAACAGGAGCCCAGGACTTGCTCAGTGTTCTTGCAATCCTTCCAGACGGTCTTACAGATATTGATCTAGTGCAATCCAAACTCCCACTGACCGATATCCTTGTCTCCAAGGCCATTCTTCTCAGGACATCCTTGGCTTTTGTTGACGAGGATTATCGGCTCAAAGCTCTCGTTCCAATCAGAGAGCATACCCTCAGTATTCATCCTCCAAACAATGCAATGAAGATGAAACTCCAGCAACACTTTCATGGTCTTCTGGATCTTTGGAATCAATTCCGAGATCTGAATCCAGGAAATATAATACCACAAATTACCAAAAACCTCGGCAATCTTACCAGTGTTTTTGGGGAAGCTTGCCAGACAGAGTGTCCTGATAGTTTTCAGGACATCCTGCTCCTGAATGATTTTTATAAGAGAATGCATGGAACATATTCCCCTCTGATGCTCAATTTATCTGCACATATCTCACATCAGCACAACAATCCAATTCTTGGAGACTACCTGATTGAGTGCTTTCAAAGTTCGTCTGTCCTGCCAGTTTCGGATGCAGAGTCCAAGATCACCATTGGCAATGAATATTTCAGCGACAAGAGTCCATTACAGCAAGGTGGGACACAGACTTTATATATATTTTTGTTTCTTTAAAACTCATTCTGATTAGCTAGGTGGAACCGCGCCCTTGGGCATCATTTTTTCCACGGAAAATCGAATACGGTGAATGCTCTTGAGTGCTATAAAAGGGCCATTTCTTGGTCAGACATGACTGGATCTCCCACTACACCTGGCACACATGCTTTGGCTAGCATGGGCGAGGTCATGAGCATCACAGGAAATGTTTCAGGTGCATGGCAATATGCCAAGAAAGCCACAGAATATGCTGAGCATCTTGGAGATATCTTCTCACAGGCCCGATGTCTCAGCCAACAAAGCTTATATCTGATAAAGCTGGGAAACTATCGACAAGCTCAATATGCTCTCAAAAATGCGAGGAATCTTCTGGATGCTGGTGGTCACCAAGATAGTTTGTTAGATAATACGATAAATGCGAGCCACGAGGCTGAGATGTGTCTTTTGAAAACAGAGTATCTTGAAGCTCGGCGCATCCAGCTCTCCATTAAAACCCATGTCCATCCAACAACATACAGTGCAATTCTGGCAAACCTGAACATTGCCAACATTGATACTATGACTGGTGTAGACTCGAAACAGATTCATGGAAATCTGGACACTTGCAGGTTACACATCAAAGGATTACAGGGTTGGATCCAGTCATACCTCAGCCTTGTAGTTGACCAGATATTTGCTGCCATCTCTCTTCGAGATGGGGATCACATCACTGCCAATGAACTATTTGCACAACACTTTGCATCATCTCAATATATCTATATGAGCATGGCACTGCTGTTTATTTCAAGTCTTGCAGACCTTTCCACTGAAATGAGCAATGTTGAAACAACCATGGGATGGGCAGGAATCTTTCTGATACTGGCAGTGAGATCTAAGAACAAGCTCTCTGTAATGCAGGCCTTCCGCTGTCTTGGACAGATTTTTGTTGCTGAGGGAGATGATGAAACAGCTCTAAGTCTCTTCACTGTTGCTCTGGATGGATTCACATTATGGATGTGCATCACTGGAGGGCAGACTGCATGGTTCACATTGCAGATATCTGGGAGCGCAGAGGAGAAATTCTGAAGTCAGTCGAGCTGTGGAAGGTAGCAAAGCCTTTGTTTTGGAGGTCTTCACAGGCCAAAGATGTTGCTCAAATCGACAGGAAGTTTGCTAATATGGACCCGGCCCTTTTGGAGGACTACGAAAAGCAACTCCAGCAACGCGCAGATTTGAAGGAACCTGTTGGGGAGCCGATGGAGGCACACATTGAAGAAGATGAAGAATCTCAGTGTCTTGTTCAGGCAGAGGGATGAATCGGTTTCTATTTCCCTTTTCCCTTTTCCCTTTGTATTTTAACTTTTGGATACATATTCTCCTGTTTGTGATGTTCTGTGTACACTTCCTGTTCATATTATGTCTCCCTTTGTGTCTCAGGCAGAAATTGGAACCTTGTACATATGCCTTTGGCTGGAGACATCCTAAACACGGGGGTTCGCAGACTTGCTGGCCCCTGAGCCATTCAAATTTTTCCGGATCGGGCTCCCTTCCCCAACATCACGAGTCACGTGAACCGATCGCGTCCTCGTACTGTGCGCAAACAGAAACATACAATAATCAGGATTGATTGAAGATTTTTTGATGTCAAGTATCGATTGGACCAGAGTATAACGGCACACCTCACATTTATAGACCTCTACAATTTTATGACTGCAACAATTCTGAGCACTCCTTCACTACAGCCTTATGCACTCCGATCAAATACCCTCCACCATTCGAGTTCTGGAATACGGGCATGGCAATGGTAATCCCAAGTTGAATATAGGCGGTTCCGTCTAAATCATCCTCCATGCATGTACGGTGCGGAGAACCTTGGGCGAACTGTTGCCGCTCATCCTTGAGCGGTGTCGTTAATAGCGTCGCCGAGAAAGGCTCAAGCACAGGTCAGTTGCGAATTAGTCGAGAGAAAATCATACATACCATCACAGTTCTCCATGTCGTGTTGCTGTTAATCCGGACCTCGCTGAGAACCTCGCAAAAGTGAGGCCGCAGGTTCCGCTGTGGTCCTTTTGTCTCAGTTTCCACACCAGCAGTCGCAGACGGGTCTCTCGGCAGCAGGAAAGACCTGACTACTATGATCAGGACGGATACGGAAACAGCAGCAAAGCCCAGTCCTAGAGTAGTAGTGACGGGTAACATTTTGAGCCACAAGCTTTGGGATCTTTGCTTTTGAAGTGAGACTCAGGTTTGAGAAGATTGATACTCGCTCTTCACTCTGGTCTACGAATACACGATTATGATTAATAGGTGTATGTTGTGAGCACAGGTTTTCGCACATAGCATTTAACTGTTACATGCCGCGATGAACTGATGGGGTACTATTATGAGGTTGAATTATAACGGATACAACTGCTGACCGGGACGACGATTTATGAGATCATTTTCATTCAATACTCTTAGTCACATGCCGATGTGTAGAGTCAAGGAGCCTGGACCTGGACATTAGCTATTGCTTGTTTTGTAAACAGAAGATTGGTTTTGAGCTAATTCTCACGGTCAACTTTGTACTCTCTCAGCATCGAACTTCTCGCCATCAAATCCAGAAATGCAAAGGCCGTACTCCGCACTATCGACATCTAGGCTTGTTTCAGATGTTGACTCAAAGGCACCTGATTTTGCGGCTGCACTCTCCGTGGAACTCTACACATGTATTTTACATAATTAAATAAAATAGCCCAAACTGTACCACCCCGATGTTGAAATTTGGCACTGCCTGAGGATTCTTTCAATCTGTTATATTGGCCAGTCAGTCGGCGCAATTAAGGAAGGTGTAAGGCGAGGTTTGGAATATAGGGATGGGGCGCCGGTGGTGCATGGTGCGCGCCGCCATTAAATTCAAAAATATCCAATTCGTTTCAGGCGGATCGGGGTTCGATTCCCTGCCGGTGCATGGGGATTGTCAGTTTCGGTTTTTTTTTTCAAAGACCTATGGTGGACTCTTCAAACTCGAAGAACTTCGTGGCATAAAGCTTGTATTGGCTGTCGGGATATTTTTGAACTTTTAGAGTGGCAATCTTATTTTATTTCTGTTTTTTTTTTAAAAAAAAATTCTTTGGAAGTGGAATGAGAGCATGGCCAGGTTTGAAAGGAGGGGAATGAGAATCGGGGTTGCATGCCGTCTGATTATGCGAGTAGAGTACAACACCTGCAGCAGGCCGGGGCTTGATTGAGAGTGGAATGAACACACCAAAGAAATGTAGTTGATGCTGATGTTGAACACCGAGTGGATTGTTGCATTTTTGAACCTAGATATCTCACCCTGTATGCGTCATGAGAAAGGCGTACAGTGGGGTTAGAGCCGGTGGTGCATGGTGCACGCACTACAATTCATCGAAGGGTTTCGACAATCTCAGGGTCGATCCCCCGGCGGTGCATTGCGTTGCAGATGCGTCGTCTCGTTTTTCTATTTTACAATTAGCTGAACAAGCTGCGAATATCCAACTTGCCTTAAATTTAATCCTCGCTCGCGCCTGCGTTGTAATTATCTTGCGCTTATAACCTGCGCTTTGACCGCACCGCCCCCGGCTTCTGCCGAACACAGCCCTTTCCTCTCACTTTCGTCTTCCTTTATCCGCGAGCTCTCCCGAGGCGGCAAGGCCCCGACCATCGCCCGCGCACGACGACGACCATGCTACTGCGCCGACTGAAGGACGGCGGTAACCTCACCCGATGAAGATCGCTCCCTTCGCCGCTACTAGTTCGCTCACGGATGAGCGTACGCCTATGCTCGGCGATCGTCGATAGGCGTATCGGTACGCCAACAACACAGACCCCACGCGAGGACTCGTTTTCAATTCGCATCCGGTTATTTTATTTCATTAGGATTCCCGTTCTCATTTTTCTTTTCGTCCCGAGGCGCGCCGCAGGGACAGGCCTACCTGTCTACCCCGTTATGGGCGTCACCTCGATAGGAGCCACAGTCCCCTGCGCGGGAGCTCAATATAGCGCTGCGCCTTTTCTTCTTCCTCATCCCAGTCTTCTTTCTCTTAGTTCTTTTTTCAATCCTTGTTTTACGTTCATTGTTCCTCGAGGCTTGGGGCTCAGGGCAGGGTGCCCACCTGCAAGAGCGCACATCCGGGTCCGTATGTTCGTCGGTGACGTGAAGGGCGTCCAGCGTGCACGCCGCCACACCAATCCATGCGAGGGGGCAAAAGGCTCCGTCTGGGCGGGTGAGGACGTATGCAGGCGTCTCTTGCCTTGCTCGTCGCGGCGGGTCGAGGCGTGGAGCTCTCGTTGTTGGGGGGACGGCATGCACGGTGGAGAGCGCGGGACGGATGCGTGGCACGACTCGGAGGCCGTGCGTGCGAGGCGAGCAGGATACGGGCCGTGCGTCCGTGCGGTGGGTGGTGGTGCGTGCGCCGTGCCGCGCCCACCTGCTTAGGACGGCCATGGATATTGCCCATGTTGGCGATGTGTTCGATAACAAGATATTGACCTTACCAAGAGGATGCTGCTAAAGGCCATGCTTTCTGAAGCTGTTGGGATCCTTGCGACGGCCGGCGGCACGGGATGTCGGTGGCGCGAGTAAGGGGCGGGCGTGGATGGTGTGCGGACGCCTGGTATCCGCGGTGCACTGGCGGTTAGAAGATTCAAGAAATGCGAACGGCGTTTACGTATGCCGGAGTTAAGGACCTGTGGCAGTGTCTGACAGCCGCCATTTAGCATCCCACTAAGCACTCGCCGGAGTCGAAACTCGGCGGTGGCGTTTCGGTCCAAATGCATCGATCTTCTCTTTGAGCATCTCCCTTTTTTCTTCCAACTCACCTGCCTCCCGGACGCGTTGCGGACGTATCCGAAACGCGTACTGAGAAGGTCAAGTCACTATCCTCTCTTGTGCTTCCCTCATGTTAACGGACCCAGACACGACTGCGTCCCTATGCGAGGAGCTTTCTGCTAGAACCGTCCTGGATCTAGAGACTTATATCTCCGATCCCTCGTTTACTGGGATGTTCAATCCCGATATGATGGGCTTTGGTGTCCTGCCAGTTAGTTTTCGCTCAAGGGCCTGTTTAGCAACTTAAAGCTCACAAAATTTAGGTTTTGTACTGAATGTATGTTTCGGTGAGGATATATTTCGGCATTCGAGATCACTGCTGTAACTCTTGAAAGGTATTCTCATTGCGTGGGGCACAAAGGCAGATTCGGACGCAGCCCTGACAGCCCTATTGGTGCAAATGGCTCGGTGGTCTTGTGCACGCACATCAGTATTATTCGCGGCCAACTCAGCTTCATTGACGGCTTCTTTGCGCTGACATTTGTACACTCTCCCATTGCTTGGTACATTCTCTGGACCAATCTTCCGCACCTGTATTATTGGATCCGCCGTCACAAGAAAATGCAGAATCGGAACTCAGCTTTGGTCGTTGTCCTCTTTTCAGGTTGGATATCCTCACACGCTCTGCTCTGGATCAAGGGCCGGAAATTCCCCGGAGAAAACTGCGGAAGTATGAGCGCAAAAATCTACTTTCACAAGATAGTGCTGTCAGGCATCCTATCGTCGGTCTCCCCAAGTAACAACACTGCTCTCCTCTTTCCGCTTGGCTTCTACCCAGTCTACGCCATCCACCACTAGAGAAGAGGGAGTTTTGCGTTGGCGAAGAGAAAGGACCTATCGTTAGTACGTCGCTTGGTTATCATAAGGTAGATCGCCGGCTTCTGATTGTAAACATACTAAACGATTCGATAGTTCCGTACTCCTTCAGCATCGTTCGCCTGTTTTCTACTTCGTAGCCTTGTCATATTTTTTCTGGTCACTCGCACTCGCGGTGTATACAATTAAAGCGGGTTATGATTTTTCATATGAGCAGGTGCTCCACCGAGTTATTGTCTCCGAAAAGTTCCTTACTTTTGCGTCTTAGTTTCTTCAGTGGTGGCAGCGGTGGCGACCGTGTTCAATACCCTCAGGATGGTGCTCAGCACTCCCCAAAACGGGTTGCTAAAGGTGTCGCTTACTTGGTACTTGACGCGCTTTTTTTACTCTTCAGGTCCTTCCCGAACTTTCGCCCTCCGCCACGGTTGACTAGTGCAGCTCCCTCTCATCCCTTCCGTTCTCCCGGATCTACGCACACGGAATCAATCCCACTTTCTGCTGATCCAGTCTCGCCCACCTCCCGATTAGGGGTCGAGCGGGCCGATTCTCTCGACATCACTGTTGAATACGCGAATTATCCCGAGCATGATCATAATCCTTTCGAGTCGACACACCTACCATCGCGTCTCGGCTGGATCACACCCATCTCCGAATATCCCTTGTCCTACATGGATATCCTCTTCTCCCGCTCCACCTCGCCTGTCGAGATGCACGCGCTTCGTGGCGCGACACCGCCGCCGCACAGGGAACCCGACTATGGGCAGCCGGAATCCGACTCCAACAGGGCCATCAGTGACTTGGGGTCTACCCAGCCTTTCGAGCAGCTGGATTCAGACTTGAGTACTACCACACGAAGCTCGTCGATGGATCCAGGATCGAGCTATTCCCGAACTACGAGGCAGCGTATTGGTTCTAGGGATGTTTGCGGGCATTCGGCCAATGTGACTGATAATTCGACGCCTGTCACTCATTGAACATGGGCGAAGTCGCCGAATTGTGATGACTAGATGTGCGTCTTGAATTCTGCCTATTGAACAATTTTTGACAACATGGGGTCAACGCAGGTTCAAATATTCGACTTGGAACCAGCTGTTCATGGGCTTTTTTCGTCAGATGTGCGCGGGATAGATGTGTCATAATACATCTGGGCGGCGGACGGCGGACGGCAGCAACCTTCCTCGTGGAGGGACGAGCCCGAAGACTCCGGCCTTTTCCTGCTTCGTGTTCCTCTTGCGGATGTCCAGAACGGGTTCTAGTCGAATGCGAAGAAAGAAAAGAGTCCCGCTAGCAATTTGTTTACTGCAAATCTACTAGTGTATGGCATTCTCACCCCCATCCGCAACTTTCAGCTTGGGCGCTCTACTACCAAGTGACGTCTACATTCAACTAGAAGGAATTTCTGGTCCTGCGTAACTTACGTATTCAATGCACGTTCATGGGTTCTAGCACTGTTCGTAATCACGGCTTCGTCGCGTGAATTCGGGCGGTTTACCGAGCCAACGGCATTCACAAGCCTCAAACTACGTTGGCGCCGACTACACATATATTCAATATTTTCCCAGCACTATCGCAGGGCATAACCCTGCAGACGCTTGATCTTCCACGAACTTGGTTTGCGGTCCTCACCGCCCTACCACGCTCATTCCAGTGCCTTCCTTCTCTTACCCCGTGCAATGTAATGGCTTCCGCCACAATAAGGTTTGCCAGGCCAACGTGCGCTTTATCGTGTCCCAGTGCCGAAGTTCGAACGGACGACGACGTTTTGCTGTCGAATCTGATTATGTAATAGAACCTCGGGTGTCGAATTGGCGAACCAGCCTCCCCTCGGATGGCGGACGAAGTCGAACGGTGGTTGGGGCTTGCGCAAGTGCCGATGAACTGTCCGGGGATAGCGGAATATCGCGGTGTGTCAATGTGGCCGGGAATTGGTTGTTGCTCATGGTCAAGTCGAAAATATTACCGCCGGGGAAAGCACCCGTCGTGCTCAGGTCTGGTGATCGGAGTCGAAGACTCGCCACCCGCGAAGTGCTCTAGTGGCGAACAATGCACTAGGTCGTTGGTAATGGAAGAACATCTATCAGGGGCGTGGCCACAGGGCTTCACACGCCACAAAGTAGACCTTTCTATTTCGAAGAATAGTATTCATCAACAGGCGAGCGGCGGGGTATAAAAAGAGCGAGCGACGATTCATCCTGCCAGTTCATACCACACTCGCATCTCGCACCCCAAACCAAAAGCCTACGTCTACCATGAAATTCACTCTCGTACTCCCTGCCGTTCTCCTCTCACTCGGCCTGCAT